TAAAAATTAATAAATAAAAGTCAGCGGCTACACATACTACGCACTTACCTGTCCAGGCATCCAGCAGTGTTTTCTCACCCCGAGCCAATTCTTCATTTGGGTGCTGGTGCCGCCATCTTGACTCAGAGTCACAGGCGATTCCCTATTGCGCATGCGCAAATCTCGCTGTGCTTCGTGAATGAGCCGCAGTCCCCATTCACAGGTCCTGGAGGGCTGCGGGGAAGGAGGGGGGAGGAACTTCTGGGTCAGTTTGCCGCAGCTAACTGAGCCGGAAGTGGGAGCGGGTGTCTGTCAAAGCCAGGTACTCGCTCCCTCCAAAAGATGCCGTATCTGAAGCGGAGGGGGGAGGAGGCAGACAGACAGCTTCCTCTGTTGGGTGGAGCTCTCCCTGTTACAGTAAGCTAGATATTCTATTTTTTACCATTTTAGTTCTTTTTGTGCAGAAAAGCAGTACTTCTGGGATTCTGGCCTAGGCTGGGCCCTGCTGCCTCCTGGATTGCTATTTCTGCACTATCCCTGGAGGTAGTGTGTTACCAAATGCAACGTTGCAGCACATGCGCGGCAGGTTTGTGAAATGTGCACACAAGCACCACTGGGCAGTGTAGTGGCAGCCTGCCAGAAGATGGCAGTGTTTGTGCGCACATGCAGAAATTTTGCCATGTACCACAGGCACCTCTGGCCTCTGTCGGGTTCTAGATACCCGGAAGACTCCAGTAGTGCATTTGTAGAAGAATTCTTAGGATGACAAAGTGGAAGGGGGGATGGACGGGGGGGTGGGGGGGGAGGGAGCCCATTTATTCAGTGGTTTAGTTCCTGGTCACTGCTATAGTGACCAGGAACATGTGTACTCATACCAGCTGTTGGCTTTCAGGTGGAAGTGAATCAGATGGCTATAAAGCCACTCGATCGCTGTCAAAACCGCCACAGCATGTTTTTTCCCCCCCAGCCACCTGCGGGCGCCGGCATGGCCATGGTGGGGGGTTTCTGGGTAGGGTGGAGGATGCTTATTGAATGAATGATTCTCCTACCCTTTTATATATATATATATATATATATATATATATGGCAGCACAGTGGCTAAATGGTTAGCACTTCCGCCTGGCAGTACTTGGGTCGTCGGTTCAAATCCCAACCACGGCACCACCTGCCTGGAGTTTGCATGTTCTCCCTGTACCTGCGTGGGTTTCCTCCGGGTACTCCGGTTTCCTCTCACACTCCAAAGACATGCTGGGAGGTGAATTGGCTCCTGTCTAAATTGGCCCCAGTATGTGTATGTATGAATGTACATCAGGGACTTTAGATTGTACTCCCCTTGAGGGTTAGGGACTGATGTGGATGTTCAAATATATATGTAAAGCGCTGTGTACATTGACGGCGTGATATAAGTACCTGAAATAAATAAATTCATTTAAAAAAAAAAAATTATATATTTATATACAGTGGGCAAAAAAGTACAAAAAAGTATTTAGTCCCCACCAATTGTACAAGTTCTCCCACTTACAAAGATGAGAGAGGCCTGTAATTGGCATCATAGGGAGACCTCAACTATGAGAGACAAAATGAGAAAACAAATCCAGACAATCACATTGCTGATCTGGAAAGAATTTATTTGCAAATTATGGTGGAAAATAAGTATTTGGTGAATATGAAAAGTTCATGTCAATACTTTGTTATATATCCTTTGTTGGCAATGACAGAGGTCAGACGTTTCCTGGAAGTCTTCACAAGGTTGGCACACACTGTTGCTGGTATGTTGGCCCATCCTCCATGCAGATCTCCTCTAGAGCAGTGATGTTTTGGGGCTGTTGCTGGGCAACACGGACTTTCAACTCCCTCCAAAGGTTTTCTATGGGGTTGAGATCTGGAGACTGGCTAGGCCACTCCAGGACCTTGAAATGCTTCTTACGAAGCCACTCCTTCGTTGCCCGGGCGCGGTATGTTGGATCATTGGGGATCATTGTCATGTTGGAAGACCCAGCCACGTTTCATCTTCAATGCCCTTGCTGATGGAAGGAGGTTTGCACTCAAAATCTCACCATAAATGGCCCCATTCATTCTGTCCTGTACATGGATCAGTCGTCCTGGTCCCTTTGCAGAGAAACAGCCCCAAAGCATGATGTTGCCACCCCCCATGCTTCACAGTAGGTATGGTGTTCTTTGGATGCAACTCGGCATTCTCTCTCCTCCAAACATGACGAGTTGTATTTCTACCAAACAGTTCTATTTTGGTTTCATCTGACCATATGACATTCTCCCAATCCTCTTCTGGATCATCCAAATGCTCTCTAGCAAACTTCAGACGGGCCCCGGACATGTACTGGCTTAAGCAGGGGGACACGTCTGGCACTGCAGGATCTGAGTCCCTGGCGGCGTAGTGTGTTACTGATGGTAGCCTTTGTTACGTTGGTCCCAGCTCTCTGTAGGTCATTCACTAGGTCCCCCCGTGTGGTCCTGGGATTTTTGCTCACCGTTCTTGTGATCATTTTGACCCCACGGGGTGAGATCTTGCGTGGAGCCCCAGATGGAGGGAGATTATCAGTGGTCTTGTATGTCTTCCATTTTCTAATTATTGCTCCCACAGTTGATTTGTTCACACCAAGCTGCTTGCCTATTTCAGATTCAGTCTTCCCAGCCTGGTGCAGGTCTACCATTTTGTTTCTGGTGTCCTTCGACAGCTCTTTGGTCTTCACCATAGTGGAGTTTGGAGTGTGACTGTTTGAGGTTGTGGACAGGTGTCTTTTATACTGATAACAAGTTCAAACAGGTGCCATTGATACAGGTAATGAGTGCAGGACAGAGAAGCCTCTTAAAGAAGAAGGTCCAGGTCTGTGAGAGCCAGAAATCTTGCTTGTTTGTAGGTGACCAAATACTTATTTTCCACCATAATTTGCAAATAAATTCTTTCCAGATCAGCCAATGAGATTGTCTGGATTTGTTTTCTCATTTTGTCTCTCATAGTTGAGGTCTCCCTATGATGCCAATTACAGGCCTCTCTCATCTTTGTAAGTGGGGAGAACTTGCACAATTGGTTGTTTATATATATATATATAAATAAATAAGAAATTATAATAATAAAAAAAATAATTTTATATATATATATTTATTTTTTTGAGGGGGATTTATTTTAACTAATCTTCAGCCCTGAGGACCAGTTCACACTTCATGTGTTGCAGTTGCTTTTTTTCTGCTTCCAAAATGCGCAGAAAGTCGGTGATATGGTTGTCAATGTCATAGTTCACATCAGCGCTCGCAGTTCCAGTGCATTCAGTTTGCAGAAAAAAAAAGTAGAACAGGCGGCATTTTTTTCTGCACAGAACTGTACTGGACACGGTAAAATGCACCGGAACGCACCAAAATGCACCAAAAACTTACTGGAATGCACATGTTCCTACTTAGATTGAAGAGAAAGAGAGGGGGAAAAAGTTAACTGGAATGCAAAAAAATGCACTGAACATCAAAAACGCGCTTGCGGAAACGCATCCGGAACGCATCTGGGTTGTGTTTCTATAGTGATTTTTTTAAACCTGTATGCAAAAAAAAAAAAAAAAAGAAAAATCATCGCTGGCAGTGAAGTGTGTCAGCAATCTACAGGCTGTGTCTGCCTTGTCATTAAATAGTAATCTTTGCCTGGAGTATACTATAAAGGGAAATGCCGAATTGTGGACGCATCCGGAGGTATTACTGCCTGATCCTTGCTGTGTTCAGTGGCTGTAGGTCGCCCTCTAGTGGCCATCTTTAGATAACAGTTGTGGGGATTCCTAGGTGGAGAGGAGTAGGTCAGTCACCAGTGGGATGTGTGTGCCCAATATGGCTGGTGCCAGTCAGCCCCGACACATGTCCCCTGTAATCCCGGGTCACACAGGGGTTAGCATTTCATTATTAAATCCAGCATTACATTTCTGACATCCGTCACCCTGAGATAAGATGTGCAGATCTATTCGCTGACCCCGGGGATTGGGGATTTCAGCCGTCTACCATCGCCGAAACATCAGATATAGTTCATCACATTCTCATTAAATCCCCCTGTGATGGTAGAGGCTGTACTGCTGCGGTGCTGACTGTACTGTCTATTTATAAAGAGGAGAACGTCCCATTAAATCAAAATTCACCAGAATCCTCTACTTATTCATATCATTCTACTATCAGATATATTTGTATCGATGTTGTTTTCCTATATACAATGTGTGTGTATGTGTGTATATATATATATACATAGACAGGGGTGTCCCTAGGGTTGGTGTCACCCGGTGTGATAACACTTGGTGACACCCCCTCCGACGATCCCCGCAGGATGGATCTGATCTGCAGATTGAGCATAATGGATTGGACTCCGATTCATTATACTCAATCCGCAGATCAGATCCATCCTGCAGGGATCATCGGCTTTCTTTACAACTTACCTTTTTTGTCACGTGGGTCCAGTGTCACCCCGTATAGGTTGCATGCCGACAATCACCGCAGGATGGATCGGATCTGCAGATTGGGCGTAATGGATCGGAGTCCGATCCATTATGGTCCCCAATCCGCAGATATGATCCATCCTGAGGGGATCATCTGCTTTCTTTACAACTTACCTTTTTGTGGAGCGGGTCCAGTGTCACCCCATGCGGTAGGCGCACCCCCCCGCACCTGCCTCGGGGGGCACCACTGTGTGTGTGTATGTATATATATATATACAGGGGGCGTTCAAGTCATGAGTTTGAATAATAAAAGAACAAATTTCAAGGAGTGGAAACTGCATTTGTTTTTCAACATCCTTCATCACCACACACTGTTCCATCCGCACACCAACACTGTTGTCTGCCATCTTGACTAACGGTCTGTGGACTGGGCACCTGCATGTGCACCGCCTGTCAGTAATAGGACACACTCGACACTTACTACTGCATGAAGTACCGCCACACTAGTATCCCTTTTATACCTGGGAAATTAAAAGTCCTGCTTTTGATTTGAACATTCCTCTGGTGTGTGTGTATATATACACACACTAGATTGTCAGCCCTCCAAATCATGTGATTCAGATGTTCCAATCCCCTCCATATCATGTGATTCAGGTGTTCCAATCCCCTCCCAATCATGTGATTCATGTGTTCCAATCCCCTCCATATCATGTGATTCAGGTGGTCCAATCCATTCCCAATCGTGTGATTCAGGTGTTCCAATCCCCTCCCAATCATGTGATTCAGGTGTTCCAATCCCCTCCATACCATGTGATTCAGGTGCTCCAATCCCCTCCATGGACACAGGTGTATACAATCAAGCCCCTAGGCATGCAGACGGCTTCTACAAACATTGGTGAAAGAATGGGTCGCTCTCAGGAGCTCAGTGACTCCAAGCGTGGTCCCGTGATAGGTGGCCACCTGGGCAATAAGTCCATCCGTGACATTTCCTGGCTACTAAATATTCCACGCTCAACTGTTAGTGGGATTATAACAAAGTGGAAGCCACTGGGAACACCAGCCACTCAGCCACCAAGTGGTAGGCCACGTCACATGACAGGGCGGGGTCAGCGCATGCTGAAGCGCACAGTGCGCAGAAGTCACCAACTGTCTGCAGAGTCAATAGCTAAAGGCCTCCAAACTTGGTGTGGCCTTCAGATGAGCCCAACAACAGTGCGTAGAGAGCTTCATGGAATGGGTTTCCATGGCCGAGCAGCTGCATCCAAGCCTTCCATCACCAAGTGCAAGGCAAAGCATCGGATGCCGTGGTGTAAAGCACGCCGCCACTGGACTCTAGAGCAGTGGAGACGTGTTCTCTGACCAATCACGCTTCTCTGTCTGGTGATCCCATGGATGTGTCTGGGTTTGGTGGTGGCCAGGAGAACGGTACTTGCCTGACTGCATTGTGCCAAGAGTAAAGTTTGGTGGAGGGGGGATTATAGTGTGGGGTTGTTCTTCAGGGGTTAAGCTTGGCCCCCTAGTTCCAGTGAAGGGAACTCTTAAGGCGACATTTTGGACAATTTCATGCCCCCAACTTTGTGGGAAGAGTTTGGGGATGGCCCCTTCCTGTTCCAACATGACTGCCCACCAGTGCACAAAGCAAGGTCCATAAAGACATGGAGGAGCCAGTTTGGGGTGGAGGAACTTGACTGTCCTGCACAGAGTTCTGACCTCAACCCCATAGAACACCTTTGGGATGAATTAGAGCGGAGACTGCGAGCCAGGCCCCCTCCCCCGACATCAGTGCCTGACCTGACAAATGTGCTTCTGGAAGAATGGTCCAACCTTCCCATAGACACCCTCCTAAACCTTGTGGACGGCCTTCCCAGAAGAGTTGAAGCTGTTATAGCTGCAAAGGGCGGGGCCAACTCAATATTGAACCCTACAGACTAAGACTGGGGGGGACATTAAAGGTCATGTGCGTGGAAAGGGCGGGGCCAACTCAATATTGAACCCTACGGACTAAGACTGGGGACCAATAAAGGTCATGTGCGTGGAAAGGGCGGGGCCAACTCAATATTGAACCCTACGGACTGACTGGGGGGCCATTAAAGGTTATGTGTGTGGAAAGGGCGGGGCCAACTCAATATTGAACCCTACGGACTGAGACTGGGGGGAGCATTAAAGGTCATGTGCGTGGAAAGGGCGGGGCCAACTCAATATTGAACCCTACGGACTAAGACTGGGGGCCAATAAAGGTCATGTGCGTGGAAAGGGCGGGGCCAACTCAATATTGAACCCTACGGACTAAAGACTGGGGGCCATTAAAGGTCATGTGCGTGGAGAGGGCGGGGCCAACTCAATATTGAACCCTACAGACTAAGACTGGGGGGCCATTAAAGGTCATGTGCGTGGGAAGGGCGGTGGCCCGACACTTGGGGCAATATAGTGTATATAGTAGCTTGCTGCAAACAATCCAATCAATATGTATATTAAAGCTGAAGTTTAATTTGCTTATATTTTGCCTTCCGTGTTTCCCTCTCCAAATCTTTCCATTTTCATTCCACACCTTATTTTACACTCAATGATGTCATCACTGGATCTCTGTGCTTCTCTATGTAATAATGACAAATCATGGTTGGTGGGATGGGCTGACAGGGTGCTGTACATAGGCTTCCTGAAAACATGACAGCACGCCGCCTCAGTACTCCTCTCAAGAGTCCTCAGTCCTGATCCAAGCAGTGGGAGGAGCTATGCAAGTATTAAAATGCCTTGATTGGTGGGGTATCAGTCTGGAGTAGTGGGCATTCCTAGGCAGACTGCATTTCCATAGGCAACACCCACATATGATGCTGAGCCTCCAGGATTGAAAGGACTGAAATCCAATCAATGAAAGTGGTGAATCAAGGACAGTCAGGTTGGGGAGGAAAGGGCTACATGATGCTGAACGTTCTGCAGCGGTACACCTGTGCAAGACTGGAGGGGAGGAGCCGGTACGCCTGTGCAAGACTGAAGGGGAGGAGCCGGTACTCCTGTGCAAGACTGAAGGGGAGGAGCTGTTACACCTGTGCAAGACTGAAGGGGAGGAGCCGGTACACCTGTGCAAGACTGAAGGGGAGGAGCTGGTACACCTGTGTAAGACTGAAGGGGAGGAGCCGATACACCTGTGCAAGACTGAAGGGGAGGAGCCGATACACCTGTGCAAGACTGAAGGGGAGGAGCCGGTACACCTGTGCAAGACTGAAGGGGAGGGGCCGGTACACCTGTACAAGACTGAAGGGGAGGGGCCGGTACACCTGTGCAAGACTTAAGGGGAGGAGCCGGTACACCTGTGCAAGACTGAAGGGGAGGGGCCGGTACACCTGTGCAAGATTGAAGGGGAGGAGCCGGTACACCTGCATAAGACTGAAGGGAGGAGCCGGTACACCTGTGCAAGACTGAAGGGGAGGAGCCGGTACACCTGTGCAAGACTGAAGGGGAGGAGCCCGTACACCTGCATAAAACTATGCATAGACACCAATCAGCTTCCAGGTTTTATCGCCAAAGCTTAATTGAACAAGCTGAAGGTAGAAGCTGATTGGCTGCCATGCAGATCTGCACCAGATTCTGCACTCTCCAGTTTTAGTAAATCTCCCCCAAAGTGTCCCGTGTGACAGTTTTTTTCTTGGTAAAGTATGATTGTCCTTCTGCGGCTGACTATACAAAACCGTCATTAGTGCGATGAAAGGCCGACGACAAAGGAAATGTATCCGGCGTTCGTGCCGCTTCTAAGTAGGTCAACAATTTCATTAGCAGAGAAAGCCGGCGATTCATCCCATTGGGGGGATGAGGGGAGGACGCGGAGCGCTCATGTCAGTCTGGTGGTTGTGCCGCTGATGTCAGGAATATCACCACCCCGGGACTCTGCTGGGTCAGGTGTCCTCCGAGGCAGGAGGTTCCGCAATGCGTCCAATGTGGCGTTTACGTAAATGACATAGCTGCAGCATGCGCCTGTGCCCTCCCTGCCCCCCTCCCTTCCCATCCCTTCCTATGCCCTCCCTGCCCATCCCTCCCTGCCCATCCCTTCCTAAGCTTTCCCTGCCCCCTCCCTTCCCATCCCTCCCTGTGCCCTCCCTGCCCATCCCTTCCTATGCCTTCCCTGCCCCCCTTCCTGCCCATCCCTTCCTGTGCCCTCCCTGCCCATCCCTTCCTATGCCCTCCCTGCCCCCCTCCCTGTGCCCTCCCTGCCCATCCCTCCCTGTGCCCTCCCTGCTTGTTCCTTCCTGTGCCTGTCCCTGCCCATTTCTTCTTGTGTGCTCCCTACTTTTCCCTCCCTGCCGACCCCCCCCCCCCACCCCCATGCCCGCCTGCCAGTCCCTGCCTGTCCCTCCTTGTGCCCTCCCTGCCAATCCCTTTCTGTCCCCTCCCTGCTCATCCCTTCCCTGCTCCCTCCCTGTGCCCTTATTTCCAGCCCCCTGCCTGTGCCCTCCCTGCTCCCTCCCGGTGCCCTCCCTGCCTGTCCCTTCCTGCTCCCTGCCTGTGCCCTCCCTTCCTGTCCCTTCCTGCTCCCTTCCTGTGCCCTCCCTGCCTGTCCCTTCCTGCTCCCTGCCTGTGCCCTCCCTTCCTGTCCCTTCCTGCTCCCTTCCTGTGCCCTCCCTGCCTGTCTCTTCCTGCTCCCTCCCTGCCTGTCCTTCCCTGCTCCCTCTTTGCCTGTCCCTTCCTGCTCCCTCCCTGCCTGTCCCTGCTCCCTCCCTGCCTGTCCTTCCCTGCTCCCTCTTTGCCTGTCCCTTCCTGCTCCCTCCTTGCCTGTCCCTGCTCCCTCCCTGCCTGTCCCTTCCTGCTCCCTCCCTGCCTGTCCCTACCTGCTCCCTCCCTGCCTGTCCCTTCCTGCTCCCTCCCTGCCTGTCCCTTCCTGCTCCCTCCCTGCCTGTCCTTCCCTGCTCCCTCCCTGTCTGTCCCTCCCTGTGCCCTCCCTGCCTGTCCCTTCCTGCTCCCTCCCTGCCTGTCCCTTCCTGCTCCCTCCCTGCCTGTCCCTGCTCCCTCCCTGCCTGTCCTTCCCTGCTCCCTCTTTGCCTGTCCCTTCCTGCTCCCTCCCTGCATGTCCCTGCTCCCTCCCTGCCTGTCCCTTCCTTCTCCCTCCCTGCCTGTCCTTCCCTGCTCCCTCCCTGTCTGTCCCTCCCTGTGCCCTCCCTGCCTGTTCCTTCCTGCTCCCTCCCTGCCTGTCCCTTCCTGCTCCCTCCCTGCCTGTCCCTGCTCTCTCCCTGTCTGTCCCTCCCTGTGCCCTCCCTGCCTGTCCCTTCCTGCTCCCTCCCTGCCTGTCCCTTCCTGCTCCCTCCCTGTGCCCTCCCTGCCTATCCCTTCCTGCTCCCTCCCTGCCTGTCCCTTCCTGCTCCCTCCCTGCCTGTCCCTGCTCCCTCCCTGCGCCCTCCCTGCCCGTTCTTCCCTGCTCCCTCCCTGTGCCCTTCCTGCCCCTTCTTCCCTGCTCCCTCCCTGTGCCCTCCCTGCCTGTCCCTCCCTGCCTGTCCCTCCCTGCCTGTCCCTTCCTGCCTGTCCCTTCCTGCTCCCTCCCTGTGCCCTCCCTGCTCGTTCTCTTCCATTAGCAGTCATTGAAGAAGATCTGTACTGCACATTCTTCTCTGGCCAATGAAGAGAACATTGGGGTTGATTTACTAAACCTGGCGAGTGCAAAATCTGGTGCAGCTGTGCATGGCAGCCAATCAGCTTGTAGCTTCAGCTTATTCAATTAGGCTTTGACAATAAAACCTGGAATCTGATTGGTTCCTCTGCAGAAGTGCACCTGATTTGGCACGCCCCAGCTTTAGTAAATCAACCCCACAGTCTGTTAGTGATGTTTAGTGGCAGTAAAGAAAATCCCGCGCCGGTGCGTCCAGGAGCAGCAGAGTTTCAGCAGAAAAAAACACTTGACACCGCTAAACGCGTCCAATCGCACCAAACGCTAGCACTTGAGGGTTTATGCATTCAGTCACCAAAAAGGGGAAGTTGTTTGCATCCCCTCCACCGCCAAATTTGGTACTTTTTCGGGGGGGAACTGGTTTTGACAGGCACCCGCTCCCACTTCTGGGTACGATCGCCGCGCCGATCTTTCAGCCCCTCCTCCCCCCCCCCGCTGCAGTCTTCTGGGACACACACAGGTGCAGGACCAGTCACACAGTGCAGCACGGCTTGCACATGCGCAGTAGGAGACCAACTGTGAAGCCAGAAGGCTGCACTGCTGGTTCCCCTTACCCAAGGTGTCGGCCCTGCACCTGAAGCTGATCGAAGATTCGAGGTGAGGACATGGCTGGATCCCTGGACAGGTAAGAGTCCTTATAATAAAAGCCAGCAGCTCCAGGATTTGTAGTTGCTGACTTAATTTTTTTGTTGGGAGACTCTTTGATAACACCCAGATATCTGAAAATCAACAATGTACCAAGTTACGTCTTTTTTCGTACTGTGCGGTTTCTGTACACGCATTACGCTAAATGTGTCGTTTAGGAAAAAAAAGTCAAAATTTATAAACATTTTTTGAACAGAACCTGTGCCAAGTTTATATATTGAGGAAGAAAACTTGTATTGTTGGAAGGAGCACCAGACCAAAGAATAAGAGTCCAAATTACTTCACTGAAATAAGTGCAACGCGTTTCAGGTGGCAGACAATACTCCCCATCTTTTTTTTCTTTTCTTTTTTTCAAGTGATCACATGACCTTTGTTCTCAGCTGCATAAGAACAATGAAGACCTCCTATGGCATTTTGGATTGTGGAATGCACCTGCTGGTGATCCTGGATCACATCTACCGGTGACCCTTGAACACACTTACTGGTGATCCTTGAACGCACCCACTGGTGATCCTGGAGCACACCCACTGGTGATCCTGGAACACACCCACTGATGATCCTGGAAAACACACACCTACTGGTTATCCTGGAACACACCCACTGATGATACTGGAACACACCCACTGATGATGCTGGAACGCACCCATTGATGATCCTGGAACGCACCTACTGGTGATTCTGGAGCATACCTGCTGGTGATCCTGGAACGTGCCTGCTGGTGATCCTGGAACGCGCCTGCTGGTGATCCTGGACCACACCTGCTGGTGATCCTGGAATGCACCTACTGGTGATCCTGGAACGCACCTATTGGTGATTCTGGAACGCACCTTCTGGTGATTTTGGAACGCACCTTCTGGTGATCCTGGAACGCACCTACTGGTGATCCTTGAATGCACCTACTGGTGATCCTTGAATGCACCTACTGGTGATCCTTGAATGCACTTACTGGTGATCCTTGAATGCACTTACTGGTGATTCTGGAACGCACCCACTGGTGATCCTGGAACATACCTAATGATGATCCTGGAACACACCTACTGGTTATCCTGGAATGCACCTACTGGTGATTCTGGAGCGTACCTGCTGGTGATTCTGGAGCGTGCCTGCTGCTGATTCTGGAACGCGCCTGCTGGTGATCCTGGACCGCGCTTGCTGGTGATCCTGGACCGCGCTTGCTGGTGATCCTGGACCGCGCCAGCTGGTGATCCTGGACCGCGCCTGCTGGTGATCCTGGACCGCGCCTGCTGGTGATCCTGGAACGCACCTACTGGTGATCCTGGAACGCACCTACTGGTGATTCTGGAACGCACATACTGGTGATTCTGGAACGCACCTTCTGGTGATCCTGGAACGCACCTTCTGGTGATCCTGGAACGCACCTACTGGTGATCCTGGAACGCACCTACTGGTGATCCTTGAATGCACTTACTGGTGATTCTGGAACGCACCCACTGGTGATCCTGGAACACACCTAATGATGATCCTGGAACACACCTACTGGTGATCCTGGAACACACCTACTGGTGATCCTGGAACACACCTACTGGTGATCCTGGAACACACCCACTGGTGATCCTGGAAAACACCCACTGATGATCCTGGAAAACACATACTGATGATCCTGGAACACACCTACTGGTTATCCTGGAACACACCCACTGATGATCCTGGAACACACTCACTGATGCTTTTTTTTTTTTTTTTTCTCAGTGATCGCATGACCTCTGTTCTCAGCTGCATAAGAACAATGAAGACCTCCTATGGCATTTTGGATCGTGGAATGCACCTGCTGATGATCCTGGATCACATCTACCGGTGACCCTTAAACACAATTACCGGTGATCCTGGAACGCACCCACTGGTGATTCTGGAACACACCCACTGGTGATCCTGGAACGTACCCACTGGTGATCCTGGAACGTACCCACTGGTGATCCTGGAACGTACCCACTGGTGATCCTGGAACACACCCACTGGTGATTTTGGAACACACCCACTGGTGATCCTGGAACACACCCACTGGTGATCCTGGAACACACCTACTGGTTATCCTGGAACACATCATTTGCTGCCTGATGTATAAAATATCAGCACTAGGTTTTCATTCAGCCACCAGTGAGATTTGGATCTGTCATGGAAGTCTGAATGCACTTGGTGATGCAGAAGAGAGTAAAAGTTACT